TATATATATATATATATATATATATATATATATATATGTGTGTGTGTGTGTGTGTGTGTGTGTGTGTGTGTGTGTGTAGTGTCACTTTACAGTTTGATCTTTTATTATTTGAGAAAAATTAATACAGTTTGATTTGATCTTGGTGATGGAGAATAATTTGGGCCCACAAGAAAGAGAAGACTAACCAATTGATGCTACCAACTATCTCATTTGACTAAATCCCTTTCCATTTCCTAATCCTACACTGCTACTTTACAACTGATATCCTGCATAAAAAATAAACATCCTTTATGAGCAACCTGGTTACTTCATCCAAGGATGTTGGTTAGAAGTTTTGGTTTGGAAAGTACATCAAGTTCCTTGCTTACAAAACATGCAGTGCTAAATTCTAATGCATGCCTACTTAAATAATCAAACAAATATAGAAGCAATGTATAAATTTGAATTAGATAACTTTCAGAAGAATTTCATAATCAGTTGTTGCTACTGTAGAAATGCAGACAAAATCTTTGAAATATTTGGTGAGTTTCAACTGCAAAACATCAAAGGGCAGAGATAAAGCAACTCACAATCTTGTCATTCGAGGATGCCTCTGATATCTTTGCATCCCAACTTTCTCTACCAGTAATCACATGCACATTCCCGATATTTGCAGTAATCTTTTCGCCAGGTTCATCTTCATGTCTAGAACCCTATAAAAGATGAAGAAAATAAAAGGAAAGCCAATAAGAATAATGTCATGAACACCAACTAATAAGAGCTCTGACTAGTTCGATATTTGAATATATAGCTTAATTGAAATTTCCATAATCTCTGTGAGCAATGCTGGCTGCTGACTGAAGAAAGACCAGCAGTCTAGAATGAGATGATCATAAACACCCATTTATTTGAAAATTACTCATTAAAGGAAAAGCACACGAACAGGGACCAGTAATCTAGATTGCCATTGGCTTTGCTTCCGCTAAATAATATGGTGTTGGCCTCTAGGCCGAAGCAAAAGGGAAATAGGAAATCCATTTGCCAGTTCTTTAGTATTTTCCAGAGAAAGAAAGCTGCTTCAGCCAAAATTCTTGAATAGGCCTTCTTCATTTTAATTGTTTTAATCCATGTTAACTATAGTTCTGAGGGCAAGTATAGGCCAAAAGGTAATTTACGCTCACAAAATTTTGTAGGGGTTTAACAAGAGGAAAACTCTCTTTTTATATAGAAAGATATTTTCTTTTTCTTTAATTCCATGTTTTTTAATAAATGACAATACTTTTTCTGAATTAACAACAACAGAGAAACAAAATCCAAGGAGGCAAAAACTTGTCATGCTTCCAAGTCCACTCCATTATTTGCTATCAGCAAGTGCAATTAGTTTCTGAGCTTCGTCCAAAAAGTGAAAGCTGATGCAATGGTCAGTGAGAAGCCCAATGAAATGTCAGAAGATATTTTTTCAATGATAATCATTGGTATGAATTGATGTGCTCCTTGGTGATTTCTTTGAGCATTAAGGTAGAATGAAAACATAGAAAGTTCAATAGCATCTTGGTTAGTGGAGCAATGTCGGAAGGAATTGTTAATAAACAGAAAAAATATATCTACAAAATAAGAGCAAATTATGAATGATGCTTTTCAACAAATAAAAATGTAGATAGTTCAAACTTCAAAGTTGTGTGTTAGATGCTGAAATAATTCGTGATAGAGGACACAAATAAAGAATTAGTGAAGATAGAGAAATGATGTAAATGTACATAGTAACACGCGAGACCTCAATAAGTATTTCAGTTCTAAGAACAATGCCCACACATATGCCACTTATATCACTGATAATGGTGCCTTCAAATCTTCAGAACAAGATCATTCAAATAAAATACATACGAACCAGTATGTTACTAAACTAGCTGGTAGTAAATAAGAAATAATACCTTGGGAATACAATTGCCCATTTTTTATGTCCACTTCAACTTTAAAATGGAGGTTACAAAACTATGGCCCTGAAAACATAGATTTTTATCAGAGTATATCTCGACAGATATATCAGCAAAAAACACGTTGCTGTAGCAAATAAGTAACAATGAACCATTAGACATGCAAGAGCTTCAAGTGGACCACATAACAATAATTAAATGCATAAACTGGCCAAAATAAGTAGCAAGAAGCATGGTGCACATGCATTGTGTTCACAGAAGAACCTTACATGAAAGGCAGGGTAAATATATGGTTCTTTAAGCCCATCAAGCAAAATATATAAATAGATCATGATACACCAAATTGCCAGAAAAACTCTTTCATGGCTTATTCATCAGGAAAATGTGAAAGCTCAACCTAAGGGAGGAGAGGGATACTAGTAAATTAATCTCAAACTAGTCAGTTACATTTAGTTACATGATAAGCAATGATACTAAAAAATAGTGATATAACCAAGCAGATTGTCAGCAACACAAGTGCAAAAGTTAAAATTTTGAGGCCTGAATACATTTTAAAGAATAAAATAGAAATGAGATGTAAAATGAGTGAAGGTAAACATCAAACAGGCTATCATGGATAAATGCAAACTACCCAAAACTTGCTTTTCTAATTTCTATAATTTAAGGTTCTATGGGCACTAAAACCTAGACATTAGTATGCTATAGATGACAGATGTATCACAGAAATGAAAAATGAAAGATCCTGTGACTTACAATGATTGTACAAATTACAAAATATAAACTAGCCAAGCTAGTTTTAATGGAATACTTTCCCTAAATTGATGCTGTTAAAACATGCAACATTCACATTTGAAAAAGCATACGATCCATTAAAATATGAAATCAAGAGAAGCAAAGAAATGGGGAAATAAAAAATAAAAAATTTGGCTCAACAGAAAGCCATGAGTTCAAACTTCAAAGTGACTTTAATTTCACAATACTATGAAATTAGGTTATGTATCCATTAATCAAAATATAATCAATCATGTTAATTGTTTAAAACTCAATTTTTAAGAAATAAATACGGACCCAATAATACAGAAAAAGAACAAAAAAAAAAAATTTGAAATTAAGAGTATTCCTCATTAGAGAGATGGAGAAAGAGACGACCAATGATCAATAAAACAAAATAGACACCATGAAATTAAGAGTGTTGGCAAGGTGGGGGGGGGAGGCAGAGAGAGAGAGACCTACCTAAGAGTGAAAATAAAGAAAAAAGGGAACATGAAATTAAGAGAATTGATCGAGAGAGAGAGACAGCCTGTCAACAAAGGAAAAACAGGTAATCATGGAATATTTAATAGAAATAAGAAAGAGATAGACTGAAAGTAAAGGAAAAACAAGCAATCATGAAATTAAGAGAATTAACAGAGAGAAAGTAAGAGAGAGAGAGAGAGAGGCCGAAAGTAAAGGAAAACAAGTCCATGAAATTGAGAGAATTAACAGAGAGAGAGAGAGTCACCTATCAATCAAGAGAGGACATTCAGCACCAAATGCCACTGATAAATCAACAGAAACCTAGAGCCCGAAGCCTAGGCCACCATATTCCAAACCCTAAAATTGCCAAAACTCATGTGAAAATAATCACAAAAAACAGAAACAAAAACAAAGAAAGCTTGGAGCGAGAAAAAAAAAAAAAGGTTATATGGAAAAATGTAAGTAACAAATGCTTTTCTGTTTTAAGCCGAAAACATGAAGGCAACATGAAAAAACGTGGGAAATTTGGGGGCCCTGTAAAATGGAAATTAACCAGGAAATGAGGGCATAGGGGAATTACCTGTTTCAAGTTACCGGAAAACCCAACTTAATTTGGGGATTTCTATGTTTTTCAAGTTGGAAAAAATTTATATAAGGTGTCAACCGTATACTGTACGAGTGTGGTGCACCTAAAAACCCACAAGTGAGGTGCACCTAAAAAACCTACTAGAGAATGTCTTTCTTATGCTTGAAAACCCTGAAATCGATCATCTCAACCTCGTGATTCATAGACATGAAAAAATGGGGATTTCTAGTCCTAACAATAGTTCATCTTCTAACACATTATCTATACCATCCATTTTCAAGATTTCTAAGTATTTATATATCTGCTTGATTGTCACAGTTTCTAGAAATTTAAATTTCATAATTGGGGAGACAATAATAGATTTTCAATCATTATAAGGTCTTGCGACACCGAAAATGCATTTTCAGTATAGTTTTGATGTGCTCCTTACTTCAATAGTATAAGGTTATACAAACGTCACCCTTCAAAGGAAAAATTTTATGTAAGGTATCAACCTTATATTGTAAGGGTAAGGTGCACCTAAAAAACCCACTAGATAAAGTCTTTCACATGCTGAAAAACCCTCAAATCAATCATCTCGACCTCGGGATTCATCTTTTTTTAATGTGCTAAACAAATAGCAATCTAGTTCTAAAAATAGTTCATCTTCTATATTATCTGGACCATCCATTTTTAAGATTTTCAAGTGTCTATAGATCTACTGGATCCTCACAAATTATATAATTTTAAATTTCATAATTGGGGGCAATAATAAATTTTCATATCATCGTAAGGCTTTGCGGCACCGAAACTGCATTGTCGGCATAGTTTTGAGATGCACACTGCATTGTCGGCATAGTTTTGAGGTGCACCTTACTTCAATAGTGGAAGGCGATGTTGGTAGATTCGCTTCGGAGTCTTTGTCAGTCTTATGAGAAAATTTAAGTAATTTGGTGCTTCGGCCAATTCGGGAGAAGACTTCGGATTTTAAAAAAAAATTAATATAAATTAATATAAATAAATAAATTATATATATATAATTATAATATAAATAAATAAATCAATATAAATAAATAAATTTTATATATATATATATATATATATATATATATATAGAAAAATATTTGGTGAGCCAGCTCGCCTATAGAAAACCTGTGAGCCAAACGGCTCAGATCAATTCATGAGCAATAGACAATTGTTGGCGAGTTGTCGTTTTCAAAATTTGAAAACCCTTTTGTTAGAGCATCCTGACAACACCAAAGAGGAAGCTCTCTCTCTAGTGCGAAATCCTCTCTCTCCCTCTCTTTCTCTACTACGAGCATCAACAACCCAACAAGCTACGAAACCTCTCTCTCTCTATTGTGAAACCCTCTCTCTCCCTCTCTCTCTTTATTGCGAGCA